AAACAGAGGTGAACCCATTGTTTTCAGTATGCTTTTTGAGGGTAGTTTTAACATTTTAAAGGGCTATTCACTCTTTTTTTGTGTGACCTCTTAAGGATAACTGATCTCCCCCTCCCCCCCCCCCCCCCCCCCTCCCCTCACACACACACACCCAAGATGCACTACCTTTTTATGATCCCAACTTACAAGCGGTTGCTACGTTCTCATTTTCGTGGAATCTACCCCTTATTGATACCGGTTATAGGTATAGTGGATCCCCCTCGTTTTGTCTAAAAAAGTGTCTTCCTTCTAAATCCTCCCCCTCCCCTCTCCTCCCTTTCACTGCTATACTGAAATAATGACTTAACCCCCCCCCCCTCAAGTTTATAAACAACGACTAAACCCTCCCCATTTTAAGGCTATAAATAATGACAGACCCCTTAGTGTTGTTTTTATTCTTTATAATGAAGCTCTAGTTTTAGCAGTGCCGCGTTATTGTTTGATGTTCAGTGAACCAGATAGAGAAATTTAAGGACATATTACATTACCTGACTGCGCTATAACAACCCGAGCACGGTGTTCATCCAGCAACTTTCCAAGCTGCTCGACATGGTAGTATTTCAAGAATATCTTGGTTCGTCCAAGCAGCCAGCCATCTACTTTTGCAGCCTTGAGGATGACCTTGCATGATGCAACACTAGGGTTGATGTCACGGTGCATGGGGAACCCAAGCACGTGGTACCTTATGGTCAAAAAGTCAAGTAAGTGGACCACATAGCAGTCAGAAATAGTGTTCTTTGCACTTCAGTCTCACTGTACTCATGTAAGGACCAAAAAAGCGCAAGGGTGGGGAGGGTGGGCAAAGGAAATACGATGAGAGCAACTGCAGGTCAGCGGATGAGTACAGCGAGGACACTAAAATACTAGAAAGCCCTCTGGGAAACGTACGACCTTTGCAGGCTTCGAGTGGAATGACTGACATTCTAACCAGTTCTCATACATTTAGACCAGTGAGACCGATGAGAATAGGTAAAAATAATTTAAGGAAAGTACTCGTTCTAGAAATGCCCAACGGGGTTTTTCTTAGCAGCTCAATTTGGAGGACAAAGAGAAAGAATTTCAATTTCCTGAGAATTTGAAAGCTATTTTTACGTCCTCCAAATTGAGCTGTATTCCGATGTGCTGCAAGAGGCAGTAATGACATGGCAGATACCTTTTAACAAATTCTTCAAACGTAGGCCTTTCAGAGTAACCCTGCAATAAAATTTTGGAATATAAAATATAAATCTATCCAACAATATAAGTATTCCACGACAGCCATATCGTGGAGCAAGAAAGCAAATCTTCCTTTTTGGACGTCAAGAGACTTTTATCTCAATGCGAAAAACATTCTACCGTGTTGCACCACAACATATAGCTGTCATAAAAATTGCACTGCCCCAGTTCTACTCTACATGAGCCTAACGTGGAATCCTATACCGTGGAAATTTGTGAAGAAGACTTTCGTTCCATAAATGGCTATAGATTAGTCAAGTGTGACGTCACGAAAAATATATATTTTGACTATTTTCGATCTCCAATTTGGATAAACAATGAAAAAAGACGTTTACATACCAAATATAACGAGAATCGGTCAAAGGAGCCAGTTCATAGTTTTGGAATCCTTTTCATTGCGCATCGCATGCGATTTCATCCCGAATTTCTCACCTTCTTTCGGGATAAAATCGCATGCACACTGAAAAAGATTCTGAAACTATGAACTGGCTTACAGAAGCTGCTATTTAAGCGATTCTCCGTCAACTATTCATCCAAAAGTGTGATAAAGCAAAAATTAATTTGTATGACGTCATCACTTAAGCACTCTATTTTAGGGGGAGGGGAGGGCTCTAGTGTGAAATAGTAGTATCTTATCATTGACCGACTTTATGACATCGCTATTTCTAGCTTAGCGTAATACTAACCAATCTAAACTGATAAAGCTCTGAAGTTTCCGTATCTATTCTGATTCTATCTTCGACATTTCTCTGCAATGCATTTCTTTACACATTGAAGACAAACCTGTTTTCGTATCCTTGTTGTTTCCAGGATCCCTGTGTATCTGAGTTGGGTCTCGACTTTTTCTTGGTCGAATTTCCCGGGAACCATGGATCCATTGGGGCGAATACACCTGGAAAATAGATTCAAATGTCAATAATGACTTGACTTCAAGAGAGAGCAGGCAGGGCAGGGCAGGGCAGGGCAGGGCAGGGCAGGGCAGGGCAGGGCAGGGCAGGNATTAACTCTAATTCGACGAAATTTCGTCACAAGTTTCGAGCAGCAGTGACACAAATGAAACGCTTAAAAATTTGGAGTATCAAACTCAGTTAAATAAAAAAAATCGTGAAAGTAGCGCGCTTGTCGTTTTTCTGCCCTGTCAATCACGTAATCTTTTATTTCGCTCTRTTTGTCACTGCGCATTATCCAATAATGTAATATTTTGATTATAGGATTAATAGAGAGCAAAAATGAACGACGACGACGAATAGGAAAGGATTTAAGCAAAGCAAAGCAAAGTAGAGCAGAGCAGGGCAGGGCAGGACAGGACAGGAAAGGACAGGGCAGGGCAGGGCAGGGCAGGGCAGGGCAGGCCAAGGCAGGCCAGAGATATATAAGCAAACATAGCGTAAATAGAGAGCAAAAATGAACGACGACGACGAATAGGAAAGGATTTAAGCAAAGCAAAGCAAAGTAGAGCAGGGCAGGGCAGGGCAGGACAGGACAGGAGAGGACAGGAGAGGGCAGGGCACGGCAGGGCAGGGCAGGCCAAGGCAGGCCAGAGATATATAAGCAAACATAGCGTATAAGAAAAATCAAGAAAACTGGAAAAGCCCGCGGAAGAGCACTGAAAGAAACCATAAAACCATACCTGACAAAGTGTGACTGACTTGGCAGCAGCTTGGATAAGAGATCTTTTAAAGAAGACTAAAACATTATGGCAATTTTTGTTAATAGGTCATAAAATGTAAAATATAACTATGTCAGTGAAACGATACTATTAGCTTCTGAATTTGAATATTGAGCTTTAACCAAATATTTAAGACCCAGATACACAAAGCAACTGTTGCACTAAACAAACACGAAAATGTACCGTGTGTCATGAGTTGCATGCAACGGATCTCATTGCACGCATGTAAACACAACCTGCAATATTGCATGCCGGCAATGGTGCTATGATTTGGGTCATTGAAATTTAATTATTTAGTGTCCCCCTGGCCAAGATTGGGTAGCATTCCTCAATTCATTCCTTGATTTAGTTTTGTTGCAAGCTAAGGTTGCTTGGTGTGACATTTCTCCAAGATCTTGTTGTGCGCAACAGTTTAGGTGCCTACTTGAAGTTTTCATGGTTTAATGCATGTGCTTACCCTGAAGTGAACAGACACAGTCTGGTTCAGTCTTGACATTGAGCTTGAGTTAGACTTGTTATCCAAGCTGGATGTGGAACCAAAAGGGGATGTGGAACCAAAAGGGGATGTGGAACCAAAAGGGGATGTGGAACCAAAAGGGGATGTGGAACCAAAAGGGGATGTGGAACCAAAAGGGGTGGATGCCCTCTAAAAGAAAAATAGGGATAGCATTTAATATGTGACCTGAAGCTTGCCAATGATTTTTTGTACTCTTTTTTATTATTTCATGTAAAAACCTTTTGATTTGAAATCGTCTTTTCTATTTCTTTTTCCCTCCCTTCCCTTCCCTTCCTTTTCTTTCCTTCACTTTCCTTTTCTTTCCTCTCCATTTATTTCCATTCCATTCCTTTCCTTTCCATTCCTTTCCATTCCTTTCCTTTCCTTCCTTCTTTCATGATTTTTTCGTTTACATCTATCCATTACTATCAACAATCTATTCAGAGCTTCATTTTTGGACAAAAGATCAACGAATAATAACATTCTAAGCAACTTACGCCTTGAAAGAAAATTGAACTGTTTCGCCTGTTGTCTTCTAAAGATATGAAAATAAAAAGACATTTATGGAAATTACATATATAGGTTACGAAAACATAAACATTAACCTAAGGTTCAACTATTATACATCATGCAGCGAGGAAATGATTCTTCTTCCAATTAGATTAACCATTTATATTTACTAGAAATAATCCTAACGTCACAGTAATTAGAACAGAAGCAAAAGGGATAATGAAATAGAATTGGATCAAAAAGTAAATAGAACAAGCGATACAACCTGCCTACCAAACTATGAGTAATAGATATGTCATTTTCATTTAGCACCTTGTTAGCATGAAACAATAGGTCGCGAGCTATGCTCGTAAAATCAGGTAATAGAAGCCAAAGCAATAAGCCATGTGGGATCCTTCATGATCGACTTTAGTGTGACTAATAAATAGTCTAGACGACTGTTTGGGCTTTCTGTCTTTATTGAGCAAACAGGCCATGTGGTATTCATTTACCACAGAATGCTATGGTCAGTCTCACCAATTACATAGCAATAAGCCATGTGGGATCCTTTATGAGACTTTAGTGTGACTAATAAATAGTCTAGACGACTGTTTGGGCTTTCTGTCTTTATTGAGCAAACTGGACATGTGGTATTCATTTACCACAGAATGCTATGGCCAGTTTTGCCAATTACATAGCAATAAGCCATGTGGGATCCTTTATGAGACTTTAGTGTGACTAATAAATAGTCTAGACGACTGTTTGGTCTTTTTGGCCTTCATGAGCAAACTGGACATGTGGTATTCATTTGCCACAGAATGCTAGTCTCACCAATGACAATGCATCTCTTGCTTTTCCCTTTGAAGAGATTTTTCACCCACTGGTTTTTGTTTTTGTCGCCTTCAATCAATATCTGCGGACTTCTTCTTACGTGGCGAAAGCGAAAGCAATAAGGGAGTCTCCACCAACGTGGGTCGTCGGCATTAGAGTTATGATAGACTGAAGAAAGAAAAGGAAGGGCAAGAGAGGACAATATTGGTAGAAAAAAGATATAAGGTCTTCACCAGACTGAAGAAGTATCTAAGAGAGAAAGGGTAGAAAATGGGATAATAATGGGAGTCTCCACCAGCGTGGGTCGTGGGCTTTAGACCAACGATAGACTGAAGAAAGAAAAGGAAGGTCAAGATAAGACTGCATTGTTGGTAGAAAAAAGACACAAGAGGTCTTAACCAGACTACATTCAAAGTTTACAAAGAAATGGTGAAGAAAGGAATAAGGGAGTCTCCACCAACGTGGGTCTTCGACCTTAGACCTATGATACACTGAAAAAAGAAAAGGAAGTACAATCTTTGTGGAAAAACAATGAAAAGAGGTCTTCACTAGTTTGAAGGCAAAGTACCTAAGAGAGAAATTCTTGGAGAAAGGAAAAAGCAGCACCAATGTGTGACCTTGAATATCGAGTCTTAATGAGAGCGAAGAAAAAGGACAAGATATGGGATAAGGAATGAAAGAGTTCGCCAGTAACCGTAACCGTGTGTTTTAGTGATTGGATTAATACCACGAAAATAACGGGAAGCCATTTCAATGTTACTGTATGTCATACAACAGGGAGCCATTTCAATGTTACAGCATGTCATACAGTGTACACTAGTTGAACGATGACAAACAGATAAAAGCAAAGTAATCATTAAACACGATGTCAAGTTTACTGTTGTTGGATCATTTAGCCTAAATGGACCACTTCGACGATACGGCGGCCATCTTGTCAGGGGGCAAAACAAAACAAAGATGACGGAAAATATATAGCGTTTCGTGTGTTTGTCTTTCTCTTATGGGTAAAAGTGATCGATCTGCCGTCTTAATTCATCTTTTGTCTTATTTTCTTGTGGTGAGCTGTTAATATCAATCCACCGCATTACTGCAACTAAGCTAATTTTGCTTCCTGGACGACCATAATGCCTTGCGATCCAAGATGGCCGCGGTATCGACGAAGTAGTCCATCTCAACTAGACTCAACCAAACGATGATTGAAGGTGCTTGCTTCAAATCACTTTGGAAGGGGTGGGTGGGAGTGGACATGGTTGATCCTTAAAAGGAATGCTTTCACTAACCTGGAATGTTCTTCTGCTGGATTAGTGTTTTGACCAAGTTGTTCTCTTCAGAAATAAAAGTACATTTTGTGATTATACAACAACTTCATGCTTTATTGTAGGGATTTTATCCGTTTTTTATCTCTCAGAGTCTTAAAATTAAAAATTACAAGAAAATAAACCGGCGTAAGAAAATAAAAAAAGCATTTGCTAGATTTTGCGCAAACTGGTTCTACCTTCAGCGAAACCTATTTAGAATTATGGAATTTTGAGGTCGAGATTTAGAAAGGAAAGCCATCTCAACGCTTCACTTACCACGACCCTTTTTTGAGATAGCGGCCACCGTGCATCATGGTCTAGTTTGGGTACAAACTTTATTGTTCATTATGCTTTATAAGCTGTTGTTTGTACCGATGCTAGACCACAATAGATTCTGTTTATCGAACACAGAAAAAGTCTATGGAAGCATACAGAAAAATACTTCCTCTTATAGATTTATCAGGTACTCACCACTTGTCCTAAGCACGTAGACAACATCAAGTGATAGTGTGTCTCGATTCTTTTCCAAGAAGTTGGTTGCATCGTACTTGACCTATAAATTGTTATGGTTTATAGGTCTGTGAGATCCCGCGCAAACCCAACAAACTATACTAATGTGAATCAAGGGTGGTGTAGTGTTAGTGCAATCGTCTTTCACCTCTGGGGTCTCTTGTTCGATTCTTGGACTGGGAATCACAAGTATAACCTTGACTCGATCTGTGAGTTAGCCTTGCCCTGACTTAGATCAGCCCAGAGGTTGTTTCAGGGTTTGATCTGTGAGTTAGCCGTGCCCTGACTTTGATCAGCCCAGAATTTGTTTCAGGGTTGAGCTAGGTTTGAGTTTGAGTTAGGTTTGAGTTAGGCTTGCCCTGACATTGATCAGCCCAGAGGTTGTTTCAGGGTTTGATCTGTGAGTTAGCTGACTTAGATCAGCCCAGAGGTTGTTTCAGGGTTTGATCTGTGAGTTAGCCGTGCCCTGACTTTGATCAGCCTAGAGGTTGTTTCAGGGATGATCTGTGAGTTAGCCTTGCCCTGACTTTGATCAGCCCAGAGGTTGTTTCAGGGTTCGATCTGTGAGTTAGCCTCGCCCTGACTTTGATCAGCCCAGAGGTTGTTTCAGGGTTCGATCTGTGAGTTAGCTGACTTAGATCAGCCCAGAGGTTGTTTCAGAGTGGTCTGTGAGTTAGTCGTACGATTCCGCGCAAGCTATTGAGAAGCGAATATCACTTACTTTGCCAGCGTAGTGGAAAACAGAGAATGAGGGATAATTTTGCTTTTCTTTAGTTGGCTTGTAGGAATCACCTTTGATGTTGGTGTTGAATTTTTCTGATAAGAAAGAAAGAATATATAAGACTGTATCAACATTTATTCCTACTGCTGGATTTCCATGGTTTGAGCCCGCCACCAACACTTATCGTTTCTTTTTCTATATAATTATTTGTTTGCTTGCTTGACTGACTGTTCACTTGCTGCTTCACTTGTCTGTCTGTTAGATTTCTGGTTTGTTCAGCTACTTACCAACAAGAGTGAAATCTGTAGCTTTAGGGAAGCGACTTTCTTCATCCAACAAAGCAAGGAGTCCAATGGGTTTCTGAGAGTAAAACAGCAAACAAAAGTTGAACATACTAAAATATTCTTACTTTATGATATATAGCACAATTTATAGCAGTATACCGAAACAGGCAAGTTTGCGTAAATAAAATCAAAAAGCGCAATTTGCATTACTTGGCGTAATGATCATCGTACGTATAACGAGTATTAAAAATCACTCACTCACTCACTCACTCAAAAACAAATCGGTAACTGAGTTGACATACCTGAAGGAACATGTCGAGAACAGGGCGATTATCTTCAAAATGAATGTTGTCCAGTGCGACTCCTTCACTACGATATTCTTCCTGTGAGAAAAAGCACACGAGGATGATTAACGCACTCTCTGGAGCTAGGTATACCATCGGGCAGAATTCTATTGTTCTATGCGACATGAACTTACAGTTGAATGATTTTCAAAGATCGGTATAATTTCACGAATACATTATAGGATATGCATCATTAACTTATTTTCGCTAACACTGATTGGCTAGACCAAAGACAAAGAACTGTCAAACGCAAATGATTGACAGCATTGAACTCCCTTGAGTCATATCAGGGTAAACATTTTGATTGACATCACTTGATACATAGTTAATATTAATTATTCTTGATATGACTAGGAAGAATTATTCGAATGATAGTCAAAGTTTCAATGAGTGATCACATGAATCATTTGTTGTGTTTTTCTTGACAACAGAAGTTGAGAAGTAAACTAAAGCGACTTTATTTGGGTTAAAGTCAAAGTTTCAATGAGTGATCACAGGAATCATTTGTTGTGTTTTTCTTGACAACCGAAGTCGAGAAGTAAACT